AGAAAGATACGGACAAGGAGTAAATCAACTTGCGATTTGACATGGGTCCCAACTTCAGGTTTCGGTTGTCTTAGGCCAACCGGTCTAGGTTTAAATAAAATTTTTTTTTTTTATTTTAATTTTTACATTAATTTCTTTTCTTTTTTTGATTTCTTTATTAAATTACGTGATTTCGATCCGACTTTTCTAGTAGTTCTTAGAGAGGGTTGATCTTTCAAGATCAGTATCTATTTTTTAACGGTAATTTGACCGATCGCCATGATCTATATGGATTATGAATTTTAAAAATTTAGAATATAAATGTGGGGAGGTTTTATTTAAGATCTCTTCAGATTTGATTGCAAACAATCGTCAGAATTTGAATTTACACATTGGGAAAAAGACATAACTTCCCATTTAAACTTATGGTGTCATATACACCCTGGGGTCTATGAAAACCCGTGGAGCCCCTAATCCCTTTTCTTTCCCAAATTTTTAACTTTTTGGCCAATGTGCATTAATATTTCATAAGGAAGCCCACAAACTAGAACAAAAATAAAAAGATAGTTGCACAAGTTTTTCACATTGATGAAAGCTATTGCGAGTGTTGTTCAGAGAATTGCAAACCTGTAATATAGTAGCATTATCAGAGAGCTTAAGAACCTCTTTTGTGGGGGAAAATGCCATAGTCTGGGATACAAGTGAGGATGCTTGAAGCTCTAAAATTCTGGACTTTGTCGGAAAACTCGTATTTTCTGGTCCATCTCTCGCAGAACTGGTGGCCCACTTTGTTGCTTTGCTTCTTGATAGAGTAACTGTTGAACGACTTTGGCACTGACGCTTGATGTCTCTTTTCACCATGATGCCATTAATTGGATCCTCGAGGTCCACTCTTCTTATCAATATCAGTCTTTAACTACATGATTTTCAATGAGTTATTTTGACCAGTTTGTATCGACTCACTAAATTTCGAGAAGTTTTTGGTAGTGCAATGAATTTTCCCCATGCTTGTGGCTAGAATCATGACCTACCATTTTTTGTGATTTGTTGGCTTCTCGAAAGGGAATGGCTGGTCCCTTCGGTCTTTAATGGGGGCAAGAGATGGCAACTCTTATTTGGGGAGTGAAAGGAAAGTACATATTGCCTATCACGATAATATAGAAGGTGTATACGGTAATTTGTATATTTGGAAATATGTATATTGTAATCGATATATATGGGAATGGTAGGTATAATATCTTGTATTTATGGTATGTCTGAGTAGAGTATATGTGTCTTTGATTTGTTTTTATTTTTCTCATATGTATTTGCCTATTTAAGACAAGCTTGTACATTCATAATTTTCAATAGACACTGAGTCTCTTTAAATAAATCTGAGACTCTTCACATGGTATCAGAATGAGGTTTATCATAGCTGTGTCCATTCCTTGTATTTGAAGTATTGTCGTCAATTTTTAAGATGGCCCTGTTGCTCACCAAGTCGGTGCAATTTTTGTCGAGTCGTGTTTCAATTCTTTGTCGAGTCGTGTTTCAATTCTTTGTCGAGTCGTGTTTCAATTCTTTGCTGAGTCGTGTTTCGACTCTCTGATTTGTCCTCTCTATCGAGTCATGTTTCGACTATCTGATCTGTCTTTCTGCCAAGTCGTGTTTCAACTCTTTGGTCTATCTCTTTGCCAAGTCATATTTCGACTCTCTGATCTGTCTCTCTATCGAGTTGTGTTTCGACTATCTGATTTGTTTTATCACCTCCGCCTCGACTCTCTGATTTATTTTATCAGAGAGTAATTTGAGCATGGCAACCATTGTTTCTACTAGTCACGCTTCGCACCTGAAGACCCTGCTCATTTATGCAATTAGTGTTTAAACTCCAGTTGCTCTCTTTCATAACATCTTGAGTTTGAGGGGGAGTGTAACAGGAAAATATATATTGCCTATCACGTTAGTATAGAAGGTATATATTATAATCTTTATATTTGGGGAGGTGTTTATTGTAAGCAGTATATATGGGATAGGTAGGTACAATATCTTATATTTTATGGTAAGTCTGGGTTAAGTATAGGTGTTTGAGATTTATTTTTAATTTTCTCATATGCAAATATTTGTCTATTTAAAACAAACTTATATACTTATAATATTCAATGAACACTAAATCTCTTCAAAACAATCTGAGATTCTTCACAGGAGGGACATTGCTTGTGCAGAGAAAGGGAGAGAGATGGGAGGGTCACGTGGTAGTGAGAGAAAATGGGGGAGGGTTGCCGTGTAGAGACACAAAGGAGGGAAGGGTTGCAGTGTTGAGGGAGCAATGGTTGCGGTGTTGAGGGAGCAATGGGGGAAGGTTCATAAGAGAGTAAGAGAGAAGGCAAGATTAAAAGGAGAAAGTTATTTAGACCATGGGGTAAGCACAAAAAACGGGAGGCAGTTTTGTGAAATAAAAAAGCGATAAGGGGCCCTTTGACTATTTTGTAAACTTTAGGGATTCATAGGCTTATCGTGGATTTAAGAGTGTGCATGAGACTGTAAGTTTCAATCGGGGAATATGCGGCTTTATCCCACATAGAAATACTCGATCTTATTTTATATTTTACATTTAAGTCCCATTTTTTTGGCCTGGATATTATTATTCTTTCTTAAAATGTGAGACTAGATATTTTTATTTATTTATTTTGACAATACATCATATCAGGCTCAAATTTGGGATATCTATATTTCGCATAGTATGTACCGATAAAAATATAAATCAAATAAGGTATTATCTACTATGAGACTATTTTACTTTTGGTACAAAGAAGTCACAATCATTTTTAGCTACTAGATGTGAAATCCAAATGATTGAAATGTGTCACAATATTCGAGAAATATTATTTTGGATTTTGTGCCCAGTCAATGACACATCCTCAACCACCCGATTTCACATCCTATGATCAATAATGATAATGACCTCTTTGTATAAAAAATAAATGCTCACATTATATGCATTTTCAAAAAATAAATTGTAATAAATAAACTAACCCAATTAGTAATTACTCATGAAACGTGTAAGGTTATTTTAAATTTTTTGTTTATTGGGCAAAGATTTCATGCAACGGTTGTATAGTAATATAATGCAACAACCTTTAAAAACCATGTTATGGCCATTTGTGCGATCCAAATTTTGAAATATACCACCTTTTCATTCTAATGAACAAGTACAAAAAAAAAAAAAAAAATTGAAAACACAACTTAGAAAGTATTCTTTTAGCCCAATTAACATAGGTCGTTCGTTTTGGTGAGATGCTTAGATCTAGGCCTTAGACGTATTTTTCATCGACACTAATAGCTTCCCAAGAAGTATTGGGGTGACTACAACAAGGAGTATCACCTGCTCAAAGATAGCGGGATTCCTATTGATTGTCACTTCAGATCCCGATTGTCAGAGACCTCTCAATCGCATTGACTCAAAGATAGCAGTGGCTAAGAGGGACAACTTTAGACACCCCATCGAAATTCTGGCTAAGAGAACTCCTAAAAATTTCGATTCTAAGTCCAAAAGGACCAAAGAAACCTCAATAGACCATATGCAACATACACCCAATATAATTATTTCGAACTTACCCAAAAACTATCCCCAGTTGAAGTATACCCTGAGAGCTTTCCAACGGTCCAAGAATCACCCAAATGGGATCTACAGTTGGTCGGGCCTGGATTCTCGTCGCTCGGGTGTACGGAGGTGCCCTGCTCGATAACCCCCTCTCAAACAACTGCTTGACCCACGTGTGCGTGTGCGCCCGTGTGCTGAGGGCAGATAGGTATCCAACAATACGAGGATTTTAAAACAGTAAAGAGGTGGACTCGAACACCTACCTCACCAGTTGAATTTGTGGGATACACCCGGGCCTTATCCTCATTTATTTGGATGGCTTTATTATCACTAGATGAACAATGTTAAAAAAGAATAAAATGATTTTGAGTTTATAAAGGCTAAGATCTTGAAATTCACCAAATGAATGATCTAGATTTGTTTTTGAAGTGGACTAATTTTGACCTTATCTAGGGTTCAAATTGATTTTTTTTTGTTGGGATTGATTATTGAGATGAAGAGAGTGTGTGTGAAAATTTTTGGGTCATACAAATACCACAAACATGATTTTTTAGAAGCGTCGTTGCAATCTGATACAACCGTTGCATGAAATCATTGCCATTTAATCAATATTTTTGGACATTTAATACTGTTATCCTGTAAAGTAGTAACTTTTTGTTTAGGACTGTTTTAGGTAATTATTTATCGACAAAGTAGAAATTCACGATAGAAAGAAGAACATTTATTAATTATAAAAGAGAACAATATCATCCCCATATAGTTTGACATCACTTGCATGGAGCATTAAATGCCACTAATAATGGCGAAAAATACTCTTGCTATTTTTTTTTATTTTATAAAATAAAAGTAATTAGAGTAAAATAATATTGAGTACATTTAGTGTATGCTCACATGTACGTACCCTAATATAATCTTATTAATAAAATAAGATTTTAGTGCATTTTGCTTAAAAAAAAATATAAAAGTAATAAGTGGTTTTCTACTTCTTTATAATTCATTATTATTATTAGAACAATTGTTTCATGCGGGATGGACTGCATTTCTACGATACGGGATCTAAGAGGTATAAAGCATTCATCCTAGAGATGGATACAAATAGGTGGTCCATCAGAAAAATAATTGTAACAACAATCCAAATGTTTTTTAATATAATTATTATTTATAATTCATTTTTTTTTTCATATTCATAATCTCTATGTTAAAGATTATATATTCTCCAAAATTAAAGATCAAATTATATTTAAAAAATATATTTATTCTCAAGCCCGCGTTGCTATGTAGGCTAGCCGCTAACTGCATTCTTATTGTTATTATTATTATTTCGCATCAATTCACTTAACAGTTTGCACCGTATACTACTGCGACACCCATATTTACTTTACATTTTGCACTGTATACTACTGCGTACATTTTGCACTGTATACTACTGCGACACCCCATATTTACTCTACATTTTGCACTGTATACTACCGTGACACCCAACTAACGGCCGCGGGTAAATCGAATTCCATGGAAACACTCGTAGCTGATCACACCCCGGGTCTGCATTTTCTTACCAGGCGGCCTATAAAATTCTGTCACCGATGAATATGGCGATTTTTTGCTCCTAATTCTAGGTTTGTTTTTTCTTTTTTTAACAAATCCATTATCGTTTCGTTATCAGATCTCATTCCTCCATGGCCAATTACCTAGCTCAGTTTCAGACGATCAAGAGCTCGTCAAACTGCCTGGTCGTAGCAGGTGTGCACTAATTTCCATTACCTTGATTGGTTTCTCTGTGTTTCTCATGCATCTCTGATTAACTTTTTCATATGCATCATGGACGCTGAGGCTGATGTGATGAAGAACATTGAGAGGTCCACGGCCATTTTATCTCAATTCCGTGATTGTTGAATTTTGTTTGTGATTCGTTCTGGTTATTATAATGCTGGTCAAGATGAATTGAGTTCGGTTATCTGAAATTTAAGTAGTAATTTTGATGGGTCCAGTGGAACATTTTGTTCAAAACGTTAGGGGTATGGTGACCTGATGTTCGAAAAGCTATGCCAGTCTCTTCTATTGCTTATCAATTCATCTTGCCAGATTTTAGTTTATATTCTTTCATTGTCAAGTTCATCTCTTGCCTTTGCTTTCTGAGAGTTCTTGACAGTAATGTGAGAAATTGATCATTCAAATACTAAATCAGATCGATATTAATTGACCACATGATTCATTACCATCCATGAGGAGGAGCTGTGCATTTCTTGATTTTTCCATTCTGTATCAACTAAGCTAATATGCAATTATTACACAACATGAATCAGCTAACGGAAAATCTTAGATGTGCCTTAAAGTTGTCAATCTATGTTTCGAAGTCAATTGATTTAGGGCAGTACATGGTTATAACCAATTAGAATAAGAAGCAGTGGAACAGGTTTCTTTGCTTTCTCTCCCTAGCATAATGCCAGAGAGTTCTATGGACAAAAAGGAGGGTAGGAAGTTGACGCAATTGAGAAGTCACTTTTGTAGTTTTCATCAGCATATGCTTTCCTTGGCACTTGTATCCAGACAAATATTACTTAATAGAAGTGCCTTGGATGTGTTTTTAATTCCTTTTGTATCGGATCATGGTGATAAACAGCTTACCTTGGATGGGGTAATAGGTCACCTTGCCTAGATGCTTACGGAGGAAATTAAGAAAAGTGAAGAATCAAGTGAACACAGAACTAGGTCTTTCAGATTGTGTACACTTTAAAGGCAAGCTTTAAAATGCTTTTTACGTTAAGTTCTTACAAAAATAAATAAATGGTGGAACTACATATTAGGTATTTTAGATGATACTTGCACCCCTCACCCCCCACCGCCCACCGCCCACCCCCCACCCCCACCCCCACCCCCCACCCACCCAAAAATACCTTGTTAAAGTGCAGGAAAATTCTTTATGATTTAAAGTTTTAAACATCAATGATATTGGATGTGGTGCACTAGAATCTGAACTATGCCACTCAATGAGAGAGAAAAAGAGTAACTATAGTAGATTTCTATGTGAATACAAGTGATTTAAAATTCACCAATCTAGATCAGGAATCACCCATACAGATCGGGAATTGATCTCTACCACCCTGGTTCCTTGTCGGAACCAGGAATCGGTCCGAATTGGATGGAGTTGCCTTGTTCCGTTAGGCAACTGGGCAATCCAAATTGGCTAAATCGCCATTATACTTTTTATTTGTATTTATTACTTTAAGTTTTTATTTTTTTATTTTTATTGACCAATTTTCACACCGGAGAATCGTTTGATTCCCCAATCCAGGCTGGATTTCTGGAAGGCTAGTTGACCCGGCCGGTCTGGTTTTTGAAACGCTGGTGTGTACATTTTGTGTGAATACTGAATTAATATATTAGAATGAACTATTATATGGTCAAATATCTATTGAAACACAGTAAGAACTGAAATACTAGCCAGTCTTTAACAGACAAATGCGTCATTTGGCTCTGATTTTCTATACTTGGGATTATAAAATTCTGTTTATTCCTTGTCATCATCGAACTGCAGATCCTTAAAGGAGAAAAACAGTTCTGCAATAGGTAGGCCATCTAAAGTTGGTTGCTCTAGATTCTGGTGCAGTTCTAGTCAATTTTTTTTTTTTTTTAAAGTGAACAACAGTGTGTTTCTTGGGCATTCGTGAATACACACAGTAATTACCAAGTACAATTTGAGCATGCCTGTATATATCTGTATAGCCTTGGTGTACTGTTTTAACATTTGGAGCAATACTTTATAGTCGGTTACTTTGTGGGTTTGACTATTACACTCTTTCTTTCCTTTTACACTGTTGAGTTGCTTATGTCTTTTATACTTGTTTTATTTATTAGTTGAAGATGTTACTGTCAAGGATGGATTTGAGGCATGATTGCCATTCAAAAAAGCTTGTCTCAATAACAAGACTCGGAATCCTGTATATGTTGAAAATCTACCTGTTGAGTTCATATTGACAACTGATGCTCGCCTCCGCAGTCGCTTTCCACAGGAACAATATTTGTTTTGGTTCCGTGAACCCTATGCAACTGCAGTTCTTGTCACTTGTGAGGTAATATTCAGTATTCACCATCCTTGTCCTAGTTTCATACTTGTGAGGTTCTTTTTATTTTATACCCTTGTCTCAGTTTCATGCTCTCTCTACCCTTTCTTATGCTGCAAAATCATGTTCAATACATTTTTCAGATGGAAAAAATATGCTTTTACCATATGGATCTCGGACCTCTAGAATTTATCTTGTGATCCTAAAAAGTTCGGATAGAGTTCCCCAATATCTTGAGATTGAGATCACTAAAATTCAGGGTGTATGGAGAGCAATCTTGACCATAGCGAGCTTCTAGCTTTCACGATCCCACACTCCCAATCCCTCTCCACTCCTGACCCCAACTCTGGTACAATCTACAGAGCAGATCATGTTCAAGCATGGGCATTTTTCTTTTTCTCACATAATATCTTTGTATGCTTGTCTTCAAATAGTCCTTTCTGTTTTTTCATAATCGTCATAGAGTCTCAATCCACTTCAAGTATCAAACCAACATAATCAATTGTCCTACAGGGACTTGCATATGTGTCACAATAAATTATAGAGGTCATAGGCTCTAAGGTGATCTTGTTCCAGATTGCTCATCGAAAGCAGATCAATAGCTGATATGGTGGCCCAGAATGGGGTCTCGCGAGTGGGTTTGATTGTATGGGAATCTCTCATTTGCTGTAATATTATCTTTGCAGTGCTCTTCTTCTGCTAATCCTTAATCCACAGAGGTTATTTATCAGAAAAGAGAAAATACCTTGAAAACTATTACTAGACACATTATACGATTAGAGAATCTAGTGTCTGGACCCATAAAACAAGAGTATCTAATGTTCATTACAATTGGACTGAAATGTTTGTTTGTAGACATAAAGTGAGTAATCGATGATAGATGTACAAATTCTATTTTTGATAGCTTTGTATTGCCTATTATATGCATAAACATTGTCAGAATTGTCCATTCTTTGTTAGGCTTAGGCCAATGCTAAAATGCTGTAGCCTTCATAGCTATGGCCCAAATTCTCATGGCATGGATCTTTTGTCAAACACTAAATCCCCTCTCCTTTTCTCTCTGCAGTATTCTATTTTATTGAAGTTTCATTATTTGGATCAGTGTTTTAAAATGCGGGATGCGGCCCTGATGCGGTGGGGGGCCGATGCAGCTCGATGTGACCCGGATGCGGGTGCATCGCGATGATGCAGTCAATAAATGTAAAAAAATTCTAAAAAATCTAAAAAAATAAGGTAATGCATAGAAAAAATATGAAGGTGATATATGTGATAATAGGTATTTTAGTTTAATGATTAACTTCAAAACTATTAGCTGTCGGAGATTTCTGTATCCAGTTCTCCACTATCCCTTGATAGAAACTAGAAACTTGAAACTAGCTTCATAAAGCATTCAACAATCAACAACCATAAGCACAAATTTGCACCATAAGCACAGCCATCAACAACCACAAGTACAACCATAAGCACAAAATAGTGATATTACAAAATACAAACCAAAATTCAAGCTCAAGAAGAGCTAATAGTTAATAAATTAATACAATCATCCATTTTGAGAATCAATTTTGAAATTTGAACTTCATTTTTTCAAATATCAATCAGACAAGTCATCTTGAGAGTCGTCATGCGCATCATCAATATCATCCTCGACGACCTCCATGTATTCTTCTTCATCAATCTCCTCTGAGTCACCTTCCTCCTCGACCTCTGAAGCTAATGGGCGAGTGTGACTAGACCCAGCAACTCCTCTACTCCTTTGTGCTCTAGTGTTAGGTCGATCTTTTTCATTAACCCCTGTTGCTAGCTCGACATCAAGCCATGTAAGATCCTAACCCTCAAACACACACTCTTGTCTTGGATCCACGGTCCGCTCACTTATGGAATCATCATCAGCTTCATATAATTGAATAGGGTTGAGCTTCGTACGATTTTCATACCTTTCCCTAAGCCGCTCGTTATACCGCACATAAACCAAATCATTCAACTTTTTCTGCTCCAACCTATTTCTTTTTTTTGTATGGAGCTGTGGTAGAAATTTGAAATCAGATAAATTAGATTTTAGATTAGAAAATTGAAATTCAAGACATAAGGATTAAGGAATAAGGAGTAAATGACTTACATGCTCAAATGCACTCCAATTGCGCTCACAACCAGATGAGCTACATGTGAGATGCAACACTCGAATAGCGAAACGTTGTAGATTTGGTGTCTCGCTTCCATATAATGCCCACCATGCAGCTGTATAATATTTTATAATTTAGAATATAGTTAAAAGTTAAGGGTATAAAATAAACAATGAAACTATACATAAAGTAAGAGACAAGTAAGATTGTTTTTGGGCTTTTGGCTTTTACCTGGATCTGTAGTGTCCCTATTTCGAGTGGCAATATCTCTCCCAAAGTTTTCCAAGGCTAACTTGAACTTAATCAATTCATGGCTCTGGATCTCATCCTGGATATCTTTGTCTGGCACCAACCGCTCCAGCACATCTAAGAACCCACCATTTATTACACGATCTGACTCACTGGATGGGTGCTTGTAGTGAAGAGATGGGTTTAGAAAATAACCGGCTGAATGGAGGTGCCTGTGAAGCTGGGTATCCCATCTCCTATCAATAATTTCAAGCATAGCCTTGCGCATATTTTCACCATCCTTTAAAACATCTTTTATTTCAGTTATTGCCCTATTCATTGCCTCATGTATTGCATCACCATCAATCAGTCGAAGCACTCTCACTAAAAGGCGAGCCACCTCCAATGCAATAATTATTTGACTCCAAAAAGATGTATTCAAAGTAATTTTTTCAGCTTTTCTCCTATCCTTATGCTTTGACCATTTGCTTTGACTCCATTGCTCTGAAGCGAACATGGTCCTCAAGGCACTTTTTTGCTTGGCTAGGCTTCGAAGAGTGAGAAATGGCGTGGCAAATCTAGTGATACCCGGTCTCACTAATTCTCTCTTCTTTGTAAAAGACCTCATCATGCTTAGGACTATGGTGTGATTGTAAACAAATCCAACAACAAACATAGCTCTTGAAATCACCTCACTAAGTAAAGATGTTGTACCCATTTCTTTAAGCATAAGATTAACACAGTGAGCTGCACAAGGTGTCCAAAACATATGCTTCCTTTTCAAAGTCAAGAAATGCCCAGCTGCAACATAGTTGGCACCATTGTCAGTGATAATTTGTACCACATTTTGCTCCCTAACAAAATCGACAATCTCATCCATCAAGCCAGATAAGTATCTACCATCATGTGACTTGTCTGATGCATCAATAGACTTAATAAAAAAAGTACCTGTTGGGCAGTTAACCAAAAAATTAATGAAAGCCCTTGATTTCCCATCGGACCAACCATCACACATAATAGTGGCCCCATATTTCTCCCACCCTTCTCTCTGAGAAGTCAAAATTTTATTCACATCAAATACAACATCCTTCAACAGTGGCTCCCTAACCTCATGTAGTGAAGGAGGAATAAGTCCTGGGCCATATTGCCCAATTGCCTGGACCATACATGCAAAACTATCCAGAGTTATAGTATTAAGAGGAATGCCGGCCATGTAAATCCACTTTGCAATCCACTCACATACCGACTTCCTTTGTTCTTTCTTATATTTATTGTCAATTGTGGTTTGTTTTGTTTTTTTCTCTCTCCTAAACCACAATTTCGGAGCTAGGGGTGAAAAAAGAATCCATTGGCCCCTAAGAGAGAGGTGTTCTTCTCTCAGCACTACCACCAATATTTATAACCCTCTCTCTTGCGGTTGGAGTATGAGTTCCCCTTTGCCTCGTAGCAACATTAGACATATCATCATCATCATCATCATCATCAACATCTTCAAATAATTGCATATCATCAAGTAATTCTTTTTTTTTTTGTTTTTCTCTTTATCTTTTTTCAATCTATCCAAATATTCTCTAATATCCTTTTTTATATCATCTGTAGCTTGTGGGCATGCTCTTACATTTCCAAAAATTCCGACTAAATGCTCTTTTTGTCAAAAAATACCACCCATATAAGTATTTCCACAGAGCAAGCATATCACACAATTTCTATCTTTTGGATTTTTTAGGTTAGCATATTTCTAAGCTGGATCCTTGTTACTAGAAGATTGGGAAGAAGACATTGCCCCAAAAATAAGTATAACAATATTATTGTTAAGAAGGAATAAAAAGTTACCGACCCTATGAAGTAGTGCTCGATTTCTTCACGGCCTTTGAAATCCCCAATTTCTTATCACAAATTCACCTTAACATCCCCAAATCAACAATAAAAGGCATCAAATGAACATCCAAGTATCAAACAACCACCAAATCGAAGATTTGGATGAAAAAAAAATTTTCCCCAAATTTTTTTTTTCCTTCAATTTGATACAAAAAAAGCCACAAAAAGTGGCTGGAAATCTTCGATTAGGGGGTATAGTAACCCCCCAAACAGTTTCCCTAACATTGGAACAAAAAAAGACCATTTTGCCCCTCCCAGAGGGCAAAATCGAAATTTTTTTTCGTGGAAACAGATGCGGGCGAGATGCGGTTTGATGCGGCCATGATGAGGCCTGATGCGGCGCATATGCGGTCGCATCTGTCAAAAGCGCATATGCGCCTGAACGGGATGCGGATGCGAGAACCTTCTGCATGATGCGGCCGCATATGCGGCGTTGTGGCCGCATTTTAAAACACTGATTTGGATTTAGGTTGGTTAATTACCTAGAGTGGAGGGATATATGGAACTAGAATGCACATTTTGATCATGCATTTTGTGTTACATATCAGTCTTTACCTTGTGCTTGTTATTCTTGTGTGTTGCTACCTATGCGATGTGGGTTTCTTTGCTCCTCCCTTTCCTCACTCATATTCATTAAATTAGATTTTCTGTGGGAACTCTCTGCCTTTTCTCTTTTCATTTATCTTGTTTAAGGACTTGTAGTGTCACATTTTCTGTGTATCCTTTTGGAGCATGAGGTTCATGCTATCCTGTATCTTGGTTGAACATAAAACTTCAATTTTAGATCATATGTTCCCATCATGTTTTATTGTCAAGTTTGTGTTATTATGAAGATATTGATTTCTTAACACAAATGGTTTGTGCACCTCAAAGTTTGTTTTTTTACTATCATTCTGGAATATTATATTTTGAAGTTTTTAATGTTAAGGTTCTTGACTTATGCATAGTATTTGGAACTTCCAATCATGGGCTCCTTAAACTATGTAACATATGGTACATAATAGTTATGAGATTTGATTTGGGCTCCTGGTAAGGAGTTTGTATAGATTTGAAAAGAACAGAATTGTTTCATGAATTTTCCAAAAAAATAATCATTTTGTCAGAGAAAAGATGTTCTGAAACTGCATCATTAGGAAGGGCATGCACCCTCTCTTTTGAAATGGTACCATTATTTCAATGTGAATTTAATTCCAACTTAAGTCTTTATTCTTCTTACACACATTAACAAGATTGCCCTGCTTGATTGCATGAGCTGTTTCAATTGGTACTGCACATGCTTACAAGTGCTGCAAACTAGATATACATGGAGCAGAAACATCTGTATGGGAAGATATTGATTCCAGGATAATTGAATCTATTAGAAATACTTTGGACAGATGTGTTTCAATTCTAGGAGGAGGAGATTTGCAAGCTCAGTGAACAACCTTTCATGCCAGTGTGGAGTTTTTGTAACTTCTTTATTTTGAAGGTAGGCTTTCGTGCTGTTATCTATTCTATTTTTGTCAGAGTGATCATTCTAATGAATGTCTGTTCACATACAAAAGATGAGTGGGAGTTTTCTATGGTATTAAAGTGGTCACTAGCTGGACTCCTAATATTTTGTCTTTGGTCCTCAGGAGAGCTTAGCTTTCATGTTTGAGATGGCTCATCTCCATCTCCTTGCGAGAATATGATGAACTAGAACTTTGATATCTAGAAACAGGTTTGTGATGGGAGTATTTTGCTTTGGAAAATACTTTGCTGTTTAAAAATAATATCCCTTTTCTTCCATAGTGTTTTGGAAGGTATAATGTGTTGGAAAGTGTGTTTTATCCTATTTGCAAAAAGAGAAGTAGTAGGTTATTTATTCCACATGGAAGATGTGGATGAGGGAAGCCTTGCTTAAATATGTGGATGTTCTCTTCACTTGTATTCTAAAAACCAAATGCGGAAAAGGGCTTTGCAGGGAAATCATAACATGAGAACTTGTACTCTCATGTGCGTGTGCGTGTGCGTGTGCGTGTGCGTGTGCGTGGGCGTGGGCGAGGGCGAGGGCGAGGGCGAGGGCGAGGGCGAGGGCGAGGGCGAGGGCGGGGGGTGCAAGGGCGTTTGATGGCGCACTTTACACTTTGCACACTCCATGAAGCGCCCTTGTCCAAGCACGTGTCTAGTTCGGGCTCGTGGCTCGTCTTTCTTTTTACCGCAGCTAGCTTAGCCTTTAGTAGACTATAGTGGCGTCCTGGTAATGTGTCTTTTGAACTTAACACAATTCTGGTGGATTGGTGCACTCTGGTGAACTATGCCCCATTGGATAGTTCATGTGGATCGGCCTGTTGTGGAGAATTGTGCCTCACCAGCGAAGACATGCGATATTGGTGGATTGGTGTGCTTCGGTACTTGTGTTCCATTGATGAAGAAGTTGTACATAATGTGTGACGGTTGTTTCTCTAGAACCGAAGAGACATCGTGTGACTTTTGACTTACGCTTGGAAAGCATGACCACTGCTTTCCTAGAACCCAAAAAGTTACTGCATGACCGTTGGATGTCGAGTTGTAGCGTATGCACTGCATTGGCGGTTGAGATTTTGAGAGGTGCAATTCTTGACTTATGTAGTTACATGGAGTTGCCAAAAGCACTTTATCTCTTTTTAAATAGGAAATTGTTTCCTCTAGTTTTTATACGACTTTAACATATTAAATTTTCTTCTTTTTAAAGTGTTTTGTGAGAACTCTCTCTCTAGAATGAGGCAACTCTGGTGCTTTTGATCTCATAATACTTGTGCATTTGTATAGTTTTCATAATCCTCTTCTCCCACATATCCTGAGGACAAATTTGCCTGGTGGAGATGCAAACTGATTCTTATTAGTAAGAGCCAAATATTGTCTTGAGAAAGCGATATATCACGCTTGCAATAAGAGATATTGTATGATATTTTGTTTATTATTTTACCTGTTTCACCCTCCCATTTCCAACAATTCAAGACAATAGCCCAGGTGAAATATGGAGTCTTTCAAAGCAGTGATATTGACCACTTTGATGGGGTCGAACTTTTAGAGGTGGCAAGTACAACAGCGAGAGGAGAAGTCAAAACTTCACCGGAAGTGGATAGAGAATGACTTCACATGCAATTGAGACATCTTCAACGCACTCACAATCCCCATCTTCAACACGAATGGACCTTTTTCTACAAAAAAAGATGTATGTAATGAGTTGGAGATCAAATACAAGACCAAATAATCAAGCAATCAAACATTTTTTATTTCCAATTACCTTGACTTTAAATTTACTGAAAATAAGCCTATGCTTAGTTAAGTATATGAATTACAGCTTCTTAAATGCTGCAGAGTGGAGTTGAGTGAGGCTTTCAAAGGTGAGAGCCATTACTCATAAGTTACCCCCATCATGGAGAGAGTACCAAAAGAAAATAAAACATAAGAAGGTTGATGTTGATCTTGTTCAACTTCAATAGTCTCTTCGTATTGAAGAAGAGAATAGGCTTTTGGAAATGAAAGATGTGGCTATGGAAAATTTAGTTGGCAAGGGACTTTTTGATAGAGGGCAAAAATATTCTTATTTTTAATTTATTTTTAAGTTTTTCAATTTCAAAGGATGTATACTATGATTTTAGTTCGAGATTTTATTTTTCGGGTTTTTAAGTTTTTTTAAGGGATTCTAGGGTTTTTATATTTTTTTATTCACTTCATGAGTACCACCCACAAGCACTATTCACAAGTACTGTTCATGGATACTGTTCACATGGGCAGTGTTTTAAAAAGTGGGCCGCCCCGTGCCTAGGTGGCCACTTAGGCGGTCCAAAAGGCCTGGGTGCATCGCTCAGACCTAGCCGGCCAAATTAGGCGGATATCCCTAGGAGGCTGCCCAGGGGCAGAAATGCGACTCCTTGAGGGTATTTTTAGGTCATTTTTTTTATTACTAAAGGGGCAAAATTGTGGGTTTTAGGTTCATTTGAAACCTAAAATCCATTAGAGGCTATTTGAGAGAGAGAAAATCCCAAAAAGAAAATTATTTCTATTGGGGTGCCTAGGTTTTGGGCGCCTGCCTAGGCACTGGGCGGCCTGGATCCCCCTGACTGCCTAGGTGCCGCTTAGCGCTTTTTGAAACATTGCACATGGATAAAACTATCATTACAAATTTGAAGAAGTTAAGATATATATGAGTCAATCTATTATTTGTTTGGACACTTTTATACTTAAAACATTAAATAATATTATAAAGAGGCGGTGGGGATCTAAGAGAATTCAGTAACGTGGCGTTTTAAAATTGAGAAAATGAAAAGCTCCGGATTTTGCAACCCTAGCTTAGGTGTAGAGAAGAAACCCTAGGTTTTTTTGAAATGTGTTTGTGTTTGGCTTGTTCCTTATTGATTTTACTATTTTCTCAAATTTTCTTGCATCAAATGAGCCTGATGATCTGCATAGACAATATTGTAGCGATGTACAGAAGGTACTGTAGCAGTGAACAGAAGGTACTGTAGCATTGTACGGACGTTACTGCAGCACCATACAGACAATACTATAACGTTGATATTTTGATGCCCTAGATCAACAACGAAGCCGGGAAGTTACAGTCGGGGTCTAGGGTTTGCTGATTTTGACCCATTTTTTTTCTAAATTAACCTAGATCTTGCTGAATTTTAGCACGTTTTTGTTGATCATCTGCCTAGGATTTATGAAATCGGTGGACCCATGGCAGCAAGAACGGGTCATGGAAGGGGGATTTTAGCATATCCACCATGTGATTCTAAAGATAATAGAATTGATGAATTTGAAAGGCAAGTTTAGCAGTTGACGCAACAGTTCGTGAGCCTCAATAATGGGTAAGACGGTGATCTTTCTGCTAAGAGGATCTCGAGTACAAGTCTTTTCACTTTCGCACTCCATGTGGGGAGTCGAGTGATGAGGATAGTGACAGAAGACCTAGATGTGGATGATTAGCACTCTAGGGATTTTTATTTGAAAGATGAGATTCTTGATTTTGACACAATGCATTGAAAATCAGCAAGTTGTAGATTGAGATTCACCACCAATCTTCGACACATACTCCGATGAACAACAAGATCTTTAGGGGATCCAATTTATGATAAAGATCGAGATGAAAATGAAGATGTTTCGGGAGAGGATCTTGCTCGTGAAGAATATGGAGCGAAGGCAACAAGGGGACTGATCAAAATCATAGCCTTCAAAGATCTTAAGGATATGGAACAAGTGGAGGATTCATCAGATTTAGGGCATTGGAATTAGAGTGGCGCATAGTAGCGTGGTTGACTCATAAGCCCCAAATTGTGGCCCTAATTCTAGAGTGTAATGAAATAGCTATTGAGAAAGCCTCTACATAAAAAATTGGGTTTGAAGTTGCCTACACGATTTCCAATAGGAATTCAAGGATAGCCATATTTGATAACGTTGCATTGATTCATCAATATGCATATCAGGATCGTTTCTTGAGAATTTTTTTTGTACCACGAATAATATTTGAGCTAACAAAGAAAAGAAGGTGGTTTTGATGCTATTTTCATCTTAGCACACTTCAAAATAGAAGGACGAATTTTCTCCAACCAGGGGAGAATGATGGATGGAAAAATTATTTTTATTTTTAATTTTTATTCAATTTCAAGTGATGCATATTGTATTCTAATTTTAGAGCTCATTTCTAGGGTTTTTAGTTTTTTAGGGATTCTTGGATTTTTACATTTTTTTATTTATTTTATGAGTACTGTTCACAAGTACTGTTCAAGAGTACTATTCACAAGGTAAAACTATCATTACGAATTTCAAGTTTAAGTTAGGTAATGTGGGTAAATTTAATATTTGTTTGGACACTTTTGTATTTGGAACATTAAATAATATTATAAAGAGGTACGTAGGGGTCTAAGAGAAGTCAGTCACGTGATTTTCCAGAATTGAGAAAAAAGAAAAGCTTAGGCATTTACAACTCTAGCTGGGGTGTTGATGAATTGTTCTTGTGTTTGGCTTGTTCTTTGCTGATTTTAATGTTTTCTCAAATTTTCCTGCATCACTTTTAGTCCAAGGCACAATGTTCAAAAAGTTGGATGCGCCTGCCTAAGCAGTTTGGGGGCTTGGCTGCCTAGGTGGGCTCCCAGGAGCGCAAGGACATGCTGGGCTGCAAGGAGTTCTTAGGGCAAGGGTTTAGTCCCCCAAGGGCAGTTTTTGGGCCTCAAAGATTTGGTTTTGCAATTTAAATATTCACAAAATATTAATTTAAGGGATTGTATACAATGAGACTATTTATCTTTAATACAAGGTGGTCACCATTACTTACAACCATCCGATGTGAAATTTGATAGCTTGGATATGTCACAAAGTTCGAGAAAATTTCTTTTGAAGTTTGAGCTTAGTCAATGGAATAATTGCAGCCACCCAGTATTACATCCAATGGTCAAGATTATTGTGACCACTTTATATCGAAGTTAAATGGTCTCATTCTATGCTTTCCTTGAATTTAATTTGAAGTTTTAAACTTTTCACAAAATATAAGCCCAAACTAGTAAATAATCCCAAAATACTCCAACTATAAACATGTAAAAATATCAAAAAAGAAAAATATCAAATAAAAGAATATCAATCATAACACATTATTAAAAAAAAAATCAATTCAAATATTGTAATACACTAAGCTTTTCAAAATAAATTCAATATAGGCCCAAACTGGGAAATAATTAGAACATATTTCAAGTTTTCAAC